GTATGTATGTAAGTGTGTGTATGTATGCATGCATGCATGTATTAAGGCGTGTGTGTGTGTGTGTGCGAAGTTGCGCGCCTGAACAAGAGGCTTGCGTGGTCTGATGCATGCAGAATCCTACTCTGAAGCTAACGCTCTAAACCCTACCTAAACCCTAAACCCTAAACCCTAAACCCTACCCCTGAAGATGCATCGGAACCCTTTTTTGAACCCAGACTGTGCCAATCAGCTCGGCCCTAAACCCTAAACCCGCGATTTTTTTGGAGATCCCAAACCCTCTACCGCTAAACTTGAACAAGAGCCGGAAGCAGCCCAAAAGACGCCAAATGAGTTTATCAATATTGATGACTCTTCGTTCCTTAGTAAAGGACCCTCTTCTAAACCTTAAACCCTAAACCCTAAACCGATACCGAGAGCAATCCGACAAAAGCTGCAAGCCTCGACTCAAACTCAGGATCTTTAGGTGGGCTTCCCGCTAGCTAACGGTTTTGGGCTTAGGGTTTAGGGTTCAGGGTTTAGGGTTTAGAGTTTAGGTTTTAGGTTTTAAGGGTTTAGGGTTTAGGTATTACCCTGCCCCTCTTGTTGCCAACTTGGCATCTCTCTTCTTGAAGGCCGAAAAGCCTGATCTTGCATTCCGGTTTAGGGTTTGGGGCTTTCGAGCTGGGGGGGGGGTGATCTTTGCCATCCTTGCTCGGGTTTAGGGTTTAGGGTTTAGGGTTTAGGGTTTAGGGTTTAGGGTTTAGGGTTTAGGGTTTAGGGTTGGCCCACGAACTGCCCTGAATATTTGTACCTCCGGTGTACCGAGTTCTACGGTGGAGAGACTGCAAATGTCACAAACCCTAAACCCTAAACCCTAAACACCCACCGTGTAAGCCCAGGGTCTGTAGCGAGAATTCTGTCCAAGGACCCCAGCACCAGGAAAAGTGCAGTAGGCCACCACTGGCAAGCGTTTAAGCAGAGAAAAACCGCGATGAACTGAAGAAACGACTAGAAAACACAAGGTCACACAGTAAGGCATACGAAGAGAAGCGGGAGAAAAAAGCCCAAAACGGCACACCTCAGTCCTTCATACCCGGCCCTACCCTGTAGGTTAGGGTTTGGGTTTAGGGTTTAGGGTTTAGGGTTTAGGGTTTAGGGCTTAGGGTTTAGGGTGTAGGTTGGAAAAAAAAGCGCGGCGCCGGCATGGCGGACACACAGAGAGCCCAATATCCCTTGATTAAGGAGTAGAGTTTAAATTCTAAGGGACTTCATATTATGATTTAAGCTCTATTCCTTCATTAAGGGGTATTGGGCTGTCTGGTATTATGATTTAAGCTCTATTCCTTAATTATGGGATATTGGGCTCTCTGCGCACACCGACACAGAAACCCCGAACCGAGACCCTCTGGTAAGTCTCCTTAATTAATCCGACCTAGTACTGGGCGCCCCCCCAAAAGTTTCGCATGTTTACATATATGAGGGTTTCCGAAATAGGGGACCCTAGTATAGTACCCTAAATAGTAGGATCCTTATTATAAGGACCCCAAAACAAGGTACCCTTATTTTCGGAAACTCCCATATACTGCGGGAATAACAGAACCCATGGAGGACAGAGGCTGCCTCTCTACCCACCTACTCTTTGGCCAAAGCCCTAAGACGAAGCCCTGAACCTGAATTACATACTAACCCTAGACCCTAAAACCCAAACCCTAAACCCCAAAACCTAAACCCTGAACCCTAAACCCTAAACCCTGAACCCTAAACCCTAAACCCCTATATATCCCAAAACAGCGCACGCAAGTCCTGCTCTTGACGCTCATGGCAAGGCCCAGGCGCGTGAGGAAAAAAAATCCAAAGTGAGTTCATAAACGGCCTAGGGTTCAGGGTTTAGGGTTTAGGGTTCAGGGTTCAGGGTTTAGGGTTCAGGGTTTAGGGTTTAGGGTTTAGGGTTTAAGCCGAAGCCTACGCCCTGAAACCCTGAAGCCTAGAACTTCGAAACAGAACCCCAACCCCAAACAAATAAACTTGCTAAACCCTAAACCCTAAACCCCTAAACCCCTAAACCCTAAACCCCTAAACCCTAAACCCTAAACCCTAAACCCTAAACCCTATTACCTCCAAAGGCCCCCAGCCTTTTGTGATCGGATCTTCCGCGAGCTCGGAGCCCGTAGGGTGCACGTACCAGAGCCTTTCAAGGAGGAACATGGCACAGAGTACTGCAGGGGTTTGGGGCTATATTTGGACCGCGACGCGGCCCGAAATCCGAATCCCTAAACCCTAAACCCGGAGTCCTAAACCCTCAACCCAAACCCTCCGAAGAATGCCCAAAATGCAAGGATTCCGGGTTCAGGGTTTGGGGTTCAGTCCATACCGCATACCCGAAAACTACAACACCTCCAGACATCTTACAACCATAGAGCCTTGAAGCCCAACATCTCGAAAAATCCCAGAGTTAAGCACGCAGGAAACCGTAATGTAGGATTTAGGGTGCTGATATGATGGTCCAGGTAAGCAGCCTCTATTAGGAGGATCTACGCTCAAGGTAATCTCGCATCAACCAGGCCATTCTAGAGTCTTTCTGCCGCAGTGCTTCTTCGGGCGGGCTATGGGGTGATGGGGCCATGGCTTCAGATTTCAAGGCTGCCTTGTTCTAGGACATTTTCAGGTGGGTAGCTACCGTTGTAGGAGCCTGACAGATAGTCTATATACCTTATGGAAGCCTTATAAGAAGCCCTATATACCCTAAACTCCCCACCTGTAGTTTCTTTTAACTTGTGGTTTGAGGCTTCGAGTGGCCCTAAACCCTAAACCCTAAACCCCGAAACCCTAAACCCTAAACCCTGAACCCTAAACCCTAAACCCCAAAACCCCAAAACCCTAAACCCTAAACCCTAAACCTTAAACCCTGCGGGTTTCCGTCAGCTTTGGGATGCCATGGAGCCAAAAAAAGCTACAAGTTACCTCTGCAGACAGGCAGCCTTGTCTGAGGGTGATGGTGGTAGCCGACACAGTCCTGAGTGCGTGAATCAGACTACGATTCAAGCTGTTGTTTCGGGAGGTTAGACCCTATCAAGCCCTAAACCCTAAACCCGAACCCCTAAACCCTAAACCATATAGAACGAGGGAGCCCTTGAGGAATACTGTTACGCATGCTTCAGGCGTCCTTGAAAGTAAGACTTCCTAAACACAAACAGGGTTTAGGGTTTAGGGTTGGCTAAACCTCAAACCCCCTAAATTGTGGGTTTAAGGTGCTTCCGGGCCCCAGAGAGACCAAAATCCCTTAGCCATGGACTACTCTAGGTTTAGGGTTTAGGGTTTAGGCATTTCTGAATGCTTGTCATCATGACTCAAGGCATAACGGATGTTGGGCTACATGCGTGTAGACAGTCGATCCTGACTTACAAGGTGCTGAAACGGAGCTCCACCTTCTTATCAGTTGACGGTACCCGAGACCTCCAGAAGCTTGGAACATGGGTGAATTAACGAGTATGAGTGCAGGGATCCTTCCCTCAAAGCCATGAGGTTAATGTTGTGCCAACTTTCCGGAAGTTGTTGTAAATGAGAAGGCGTACACTTCAATACGTGCCCGCAGCAGAAGCCATAACAGCCGTGCAAGACTCCTCGGCCGTCAAGATCAGCAAAAAAACACGAGCTTCACGACGCAAAGGCTCAATTTGGGGGATAGAGTTTAGGGTCAGCGGGAGTAAGCTTCGACACACTCCCTATCATTTCAGAACCGGCTCGTGAAAAGCACTTCAAGGGATTTCAGACACGTAGTTATCCCGGAATCCTAAACAAACTCGAGAACCGTCGCTGGTGCTTAGACTCCGGAGCCCCGTAGTCTGCCACACTGTTTAGGGTTTAGGGCCTTACTACCCCAGACCCCCAAAAGGATCTAAAAAATAGATCCCCTAATTAGGGACCCTAACTACTCAAGGGTACTTCAGGGGATCTTTTTTTTAGACCCTTTTGGGGGTCTGGGTAACGACTGTAACAGGAATCTCTGCCCCCACTGCCCTGGCCCTGGTAACCACCAAGTGGCTTCGTTCTCGTCGCAGAAGACCTTTGCCTCGTCCTCTCGCGGCATCCGGATAGGCCCAACTTCGGACCCTCAATTTTGTCTGAAGTCGCCTCAACTCGTAAACACAAATCCCAAACTTAATGCCCAAACCCCTGAACATCCCTAAACCCTAAACGAATGTACCTCGAAAGCCTGCAAACAAGTGCTCACGCACCCAAGGTGCCGAGTCCTCAGTGGGAAACTTCAGCCAGACCTGCGCGCCCGTGAAAGCCTGGCAAAGAGGTGAGGTGTAGGGTGCTGGATTTTCGAAGTTTGGATTTGGGGCTTCATCCGCAACCCCGAAGGCAGAAGACAAAGCTACACCCTACCAACCTAAACCCTAAACATCGACAGGCTGAACCCTAGCATGTCGCCAGCCAGTGAGGTTGGGCCTTGCTTTATACTTGACGAACTACAGGACGGAGGTTTTGAAAAATCTCCACAGCTCTAACCCTAAACCCTAAATCCTAAACCCTAAACCCTAATCCCTAAACCCTAAACCCCACGTTCAGAGAGTTGGCAGGAGAGGCATAAGTCGCTACCAGGGGGGCATAGGGTTTACGTTTTAGGGTTGGGTCCCAAATTGAGGGTATTTCGGGGCTTTTTGGGGGGGTCGATGTGTCCAGAGTCTCAACACGTGCAGACCTTGTGACGACCCTCCGCTACACTTCAGAGCCTTACCCTGCGCCGCTGCAAATGAGCGATTTGGTAGCTTGCACATACGTGCAGTGTTTCCTTCACTTCTTTGTTTGTGTGTTATTCGTTCTAGAATCTTCGCAACTTCGGGGTTCAGTGTTTGTGTCCTTCTGACTCGAGGCAGTCAAAGGCTCTGCAGGGAAGTTCTGGGCTTCGAGGTTACATGCAGAGAGCCTGGCGCAACTCGATCACCGAATATACCTTCAACTTTCTAAAACGGCTTCCAGATGGAATTGTCCAAACAGTGTGGCAAAACAGGCAACAGGATGGGGTTCGCACGCTAGGAGTAGATTGGGATCCAGTGCTAGCGTCAGTGTCAGCGCAAGGCGCGCGTGCGCGCGCGCGTTGGGCAGGCATGCCCAGTTGCGTGTCTCCGCTGTGGTGTGCGCATTCTTGAACAGAGCCGCAGTCTTTCCACACTCCCTGCCGGGCCGCATCCAGTTTGGTGGGCAAAATGGCCTCAATGGCTAGTCTCGAAAGGGTCAGGGCCCTCTGTGGAGTGGTTTGTGGGACTGTGCGATTTGGAATGCTAGGAGCTCTTTCAGTTTCTGGGGTCTAATTATGCTGGCATGACAAGAAGCGAGTCCATACTACGGCTTAAGGCCTCCCCCTAAAACCTAAACCCTAACCCTAAAACTTAAACCCTAAACCCTGAAACTCCTTCAGCCATTCAGGTGACCTCAACTCTGACAGCCTATGCCCCAGGTGTGCAAGATGACGACAAGGACAAGCAAGAAGCAGCATGAAAGCAAGAAGACGCTTGTCTGCTCCAAAACAACGCCAAAAATGCCAAACTCAACCTTCGTTCTGGCGATTATACAATTACGTGCTTAGGTTTCGGGGCGTTACTACTAGATTCTAGAATATTCTGCACGTAGGCCGTGGCATACGTTGCCTTCAGGTAAGTCTTGGCTGGCGAACTTGTCCTGAAGATGCCGGAAGCAAGGCGCAACCACCCCTAACCTGGTTCAAATCCTAAA